AAAAACTAAAAAGATGGGACGATTCCCCCGAGACATTCTATGAAGCTGAGGCGGCGAATCGGCTTACGTTACGGTTAGAGATTTCGGCTCTTCCACGCTATCCCGAGTGAACATAAAACTTAGTCTTAACCAAAAGGCCAGGGAGTGAGGGGGTAGCCGCCCACTAGAGCATACCTTTAGCTACCCTCTTAGACCATCGTACTATGAGGACACTTAGATATCTAATATCTAATTGGGGTAGTCTATTCGGCGAAGTTCTATGCTAATATATGACGTCATCAAAATCCTTAGGGAGCAGCGAGCCAATCAGAGCTCAGCTCAGGAATTAGCAAAGGATATGGTTTGCATAATCATTCTTCAGTGGATTTATTTTTTGACGGGGGTGGAGATGGTTGTAGTCTTCTCTCGCAGCCGTTAGGAGGCTCGCTCCCAGGTTACTCTCCCATAGTGGGAGAGACCTAGGAACGAACCTCGTAACGGCTGCGAGAGAAGACTAAGCATGCTAAAATGGGTGCCGAGGGCTGGTTAGCGGCCGAATACCGATGTACTCGATGTATTTGTGACGGTTTTCATCGAGCTGGACGTTCAATTGTTGGTATTGCTTTCCAAATCATCACAGGAAAAGGTGTACAGTTCTTATATCAGACAGACATTGCAGGTATTCGGATAAACACCACGACAAAAGTTGAAAGTCTTTGTGTACGTAAGTGGTTATTTACTGGGATCGGCCATGGAATTGAAGACCTCTGAACTCACTGTTCGAACACTTACTCTCGAACGTTCCACATTTTCGTTATTGATGATATAAAAGTTCACAAATGGATTCAAATATTGATCATCAAAACATTATTAATAACTCTATAATATAGCGAATATTAATTAGCTGTTGAAGAGGATAAGATGACAATCCGTATAAAATTAATAAAGAAATACTAAAAAATCAGCCATCTTTGGGATTTTATTGCCAAAAAACTATATAATAAGGCGAATACGAGTAATTATATCTAAAAATACATTTTAAATGATATTAACATTTTATCGAAGAAGACGTTTATCATCAGGAATTTCTCATGAGTTTATAACTGTCAAAAAAGTCAACACAGATACAGAAGCTAATGTCTTTGACTACAGCTAAATCAAAGGTCTAAGAACTCCATGTCGTGGATAAAAATTCCATTTCCGGATCTCAGAAAGATATGTTTACTGTAGGCAGGGAAACAGGGCGCCCCGCGTCAGGCCGGAGAAATGATCAAAACATCACAATGGTTCCCTGGCTCCTGGGAATCACCGCCTTATGTGTATTTATATAGGCAACGTAATGGCTGATCGTCACTTGATGCTTTMAGTTCCTTGCAGCGTATACAGCTAATTAAGAAAACGTTGAATACTGAAGATAGTGTATTCCAAGAGCGAAATGCATTGTGGGTCTTTCTATCTCCGTTCGCCATACAAAAGGAGCTTTCATGATTTTAGAGTGCTATGCTGCCAGGTCCGATGTTGTGATAAAAAAATTTTAAGGAAAGCAATTAAAATTTGAATTGACATTTATTGTACGCGCAGCAAACTCATCGAAGTTTACTAAATTTCTTAATGGCCTTGAGTCACATGCAGTCCTAGACTGTCTATTTTTTTATATATATAAAGCAAAATCGGCTTGAGAAGAGGACGTTTTAGCATAAAAAAAGTGCGGGACCAAAACACATATTCAATCATTTTAGCCATAACAGTTTTAAAACTGCACTGCGAATTTCCTGAATTCGCAAGCAATAAATGAACGGATTGAGAGTGCTATTAATATATATCACAGTCAACAAAGATATGTTTACATAAAACATCTCAATTCCACTGTACTGTAGAGCAAAACGCACGGTATGGTAGAACCAGTACGGGCAGTAACATGCTGCAAAGGCTCCTATAATGCAATAGAGTGTGTGGATTGAACGTTTGTATCTTTGCATGTTKATAGAAGGCGGTGTTTGTTCTTGTTGAGCTTGGACTTTTCGAGAGTGATTCTTAATATCAAGAGATATCAAAATCATTAAAACGATATGAGTTAACGATGTTACAACTGCTATTACTATTATGATAAAGAAAGCTACTTTGTAAACCCAGGGAGTCCAAGAAATGCTAAAAACCCATATTCCAAGCAAAACTACACAGTATTTTTTGGTTGTGACTCGAGTTTGGTAGCTTAAGCGCAGACGCAACGCAAGAAATCTATCAACTGTTATGAAAGTCATGGTTAACAAAGAAGATGATATCAAAGTATTTGAGGAATAATGATAAATTMTGAAGATTAAAAGCTTTTTAGAAGCCTGATACTCGGTTGTGAATAAGGTAAATAGCCATTTGCAAATTGTAGGCTGAACTACTAAGCCGACGCCGAGGTCAGAGAGGGCTAAACCGAGGATCAAGATGAATGAAGGTGTCCGAAGAGAAGATGTTGTGATGAAACTACAGACTATCAAGAAGTTAAAAATTATAGAAATGAAAGAGCTTATGGAGTTGACCACCACCATGGAGTAAATAAAACCTTTGAAGTGTTCGTCTTGAAACAATAAGGTGGAATTCTCTGTTGTATTGTTAGCCATTCTGAAGACGGTTCGGTTGCTTCCARAGATTAAAGCTAGTTTTAGCCAAGTCTTTGAGTGTTGCGGTGATGACGACTTTAGCTTTCTTGATAAGAGTACTCCCTCTGGAAACCACTTGTTCTTCTGAAAATTAAAGTGTAAAAGCTAGCAAAATTTCCTAAGGAAGTCTCCTAAGCAAAATCTCCTAAGGAATTAAATATTTACATGTAACAAAAAACAGTTCATGCGCWRAAACCCACGCAAAAGCACAGGTAGCCCACTTCAAGTTTTATCAATCGACTCTTCAACAGTCTCCTGCTCGGCTCAGCTGGAGATTCGAAGTTTTTGCACGCAATCAGCAAAAATGGCGCCAGTCGAACAACATACAATCGCTCTGGACGATGGAAAAACCTTTTACCATCCAGGAGATGAGATTCGTGGGAGAGTTTTACTTCGACTGAGTGGTTCAATGACTATTAGAAGTATAAGYGTGGGCTTTCATGGCGAAGGACATGTTACTCATCGTTCAGGTCGAACACGCTATAACTATACACAGCCATACTTTCACTATGCTTGCCTCGTGTATGACTGCAATAACGAATGTGAGTTTGAATTAATATATTTTATATATTGCTAAGACGTTTATGTTTTGTTTAGTGTGTTTTTAAAGAAATAATCTAGCATGGCTTGAAGTGAAGTGTTGCGAGAAAACGCAAGTTGTTACAACAGCTGTGCGAGTTAAGCTTATAAGTAACTTTTTATAAAAATATGAATGAGAACTTCTAGTAAGCTTTGCGATTCTTGAGGAGGATTTAGACAGTACGATTTTCGCTAGCAATTTGTACTAGACAACTAAAATGAGCTTTAAATTGCGTTATGTTAATGCCCCTACGACTTCATGCCTACAATAGTCGTACAAAACAAACGACTGGTAGTGAACCGACGGCACAAAATCCAACGACTTGTCGCCAGAAAAATCGTATACTACAAGTCAACACGCGACAATCGTAAAACCACCTTATTAGCAAACAGTTTGTTCATCCATTCCTCCAATCTTCCTTCATCCATTTTTTATGTTTTTTTTTCATTCATTCATTCCTTTTATTCATCCATCAATTCATCCATTTATTTTTCATTTCAGCGGCAAACCACCAATTTAGGGGAAACTTCCCACCAGGAGAATTCTGGTTTCCCTTTGCATTYAGACTTCCCCCTGTCAACCTTCCAACATCATACCATGACAACACTGCGTCTGTGCAGTACTGGATAGACTCGATGATTGACAGACCCATGTGGTTCAACAAGAAGACTGCCATTTCAATTTTTGTGCTGGAGGCAGTGAATGCTGACACTCAAGAACTTCAGGTGATTTTCTGAAACTTTACCCCATAGCAACATCCCCCCCTAGTTGTATACAATTTTTTCAAATGCCCCCTCCCCCCACCCCTTGACCATGTTTTATTGACACGATCCCCACTCTCTTCATTCTCAAGAAATAAGCTGTATTGAATATATAATACAGTATAATAATTTAACATGCCTCCCCCTCTAACTTGGTCTTTTGTTTGCCCCCACCCACGTCAAAACCACCCCCCCACCTCCCCTTCCAATAAAAAAATGAACAGCCCCAGCTTATCTCCTCATGAGGTTATTTTACACATAGAAATATTTGTATTTCACAGCATTCACAAACCAAGCAAAAGGAGATGCCAATTTGCTGCTGTTGTCGTCGAGGAGGAAAAGTGAACGTATCAGGAAAGATTAKCAAGGGAGGTTTCTACCCTGGGGAAGTGATTGAGACGAAATTCTTTGTTGAGAATCAATCCAACAGAGAAGTTACTTACACGGAGCTGGTTTTGAAGCAGAAGCTGAGAAAAATATATGGAGAAGGTAGACTAAAATGATTTAATTCACTTTGTATTGCGAGTTAATGCAAGTATATAACTGACTTTAGATATTTTGGTTCAGTGACCATGCGCAAAAGAATTGCAGACAAGGCCCTGGGGAAATAAAAGAATAAATCAAGATTATCCATTGTTTTCCTGGAGCCTTATGTGCATTCTTTTGTACATAGTCATCGAGCCAAAATATCTAAAGTTGACTATAGTATAGATTGCAAGACAAACTCTGTTATATTCTGCAATTTCAGTAAATGTAGCTTATTTCTGAACACAGATGGAAGACAATTAACTGAAAAAAAATTGTACATGCTGTGTAACAGCAGTTCAACTTAATTTTCTGTSTGTAATTAGACCATAGCTATGATTRTGTGACMAGAACAAACATCATTGCAAGTGTAAAAGGTGTCGGAGTGCCACCCGGTCAAGATGCTGACATCAATAACTTAAAGTTGGTTGTACCAAATAATGTGGCACCAACTACAACATGCGAAGAGAGTATTGTTGCTGTGAAATACATGGTTGAGGTGAGCTCTAGGTGTCATTCAAGACTAACTTAAGACTAAGACTAAGACTTACTATAATCAAACATTTTCTGAATGACTAAAACACCAAATATTGCATGTCTAACAAGAGGAGAAAGGGAAAAAAGTTTTGAATGGTGTTTCAGGGTCAGATTCAGGACTTTCTCCACTGAGGTGCATTTTCCCAACATGATCACAAAGAGAATGCATTTCCATCTAAAGGACGAAACAGTTGATTCTTGTTCCCAAGAGGGCAGAAATCTTTTGTTTTATACCCTAGATGAAACTAATTGCTTTTGCTAACACTTTCTCCGTTTTTCTCCTCTCCAGTTAATTGCTCACACAAAGGGAACTTGCGTATGTGCAGCAAGTGTTGAATTCCCCATCACGATTGGCTTCATGCCGTCACAGCCCTCTGATTGGTCTAGACAGGTACTGCAAGCAATTGCACAGCTAGTGAACTCACAGTTAGAACAACAGGCCCAGGAAGAAAGGGAACAACAGGTTGTAAATGATGGACAATWTAACCATAGTGACAGAGCAATGTTGATACAAGGTGAAAACTGTTAATTTGTGGGCTTCCTGTGGTRTTTGTGGTCTAGATTAGTATTTGGTCGACGCTACCACAGAAAGAACTTTTTTCCATAATTATGTAATGTCACGTGACGAAACACTTATCATGGTATCATGACGTATCATGGTATCGTAGTATAAAAGAAAAAGAAGATAAAAATGTGTAAGATAATTCAACGTTGTGTAAGACAGTGCAACGTTRTGCAAGACAACGCAACGTTACGTAAGACAACGTAACGTACTTCAACGCRTAGCGTAAAAGAAACGTAGAACATAGCGTAGGTTGTCATAGCGTAAAAGAAATACAAGTTCACAGAAAAAAAGTTAAAGATACAGATTAGAGTCACGTAACGAAACTTAACTGGAACCAACTACTCTTGCGTAATCATTGTAGCATGCGGAGTCTAAAGCAATTCACTTATAAATGTAAACGTAACGTAAAAATTGTAACTAAAGTCARCTAAACAACGTCAGAAAAACTGRCGATAATGGCTTCTAAAGTCGAAAAAAGCTTATAAAAGTATAATATCCAACTTTCCGTCAAAACTTACGTCTCTCCAGCGCGTTTTTGGACTGTTTTTTTTTTTTTTTTTTCGGTGTTTTACGCGTGATCATAGCGTTTTATCAAGTCGAGAAAATAGCCGTATACCGTAATGCCTCGCGGTCGGACAATTCTCTTAAGCAGGCTTTCTCAAAGACATTAGAATTAGCTGTAACGATGGCTGTACATGTTGTACATGTATAATTTATCTGTATTTAGTAAAAAAGGCCTGAATTAAATAAAAGTTGATAAAGCTCAAGATTGTATCATCGCGTTCGTCTAGTAAAAGTCAATTTAAAAATTTATTGGAAAAACTTTAATTCTGATCTTTTCTTTGATATTGGAGATATTATTTTCTCTAAACTTGAACAACAGCAACGTTAGTGCCGGCGCAACTTGTTAAGCTTTTTGATATCWCGTATATTGCTTGACATAGATTTATCCTAGAGTTTTGGGCCAATGTTTTCCTTCCTCAAGAGAAAGGAAACGATACCAAAAACGCTACGAAATCGCATAATTATCAACTCCTATGACACCTCAAGGAAAACMCTTTTAGATTATAATACCGATCCTTTTCCAGGAAAAATGGTTTGTTTTTAGTTCAGTTGGTTTCATTGTTTCTTGTTTCACTCAACTTGAAGAAGTCGAGTAGAACTTGTCTTGAAGGAAATTGCAYGGACTAAAAATAGTTGATATCGGTTTAGAATTTCATTTCAAATATKTTTAAAGTATGTTCAAATGATTTCCATGAAACATTTCAGTGGAAAACAAAAAAAAGTCGAAGCGAGCAAACTTTAGATCATATTTCACTATTGCAAAATAAAGCAAACAGGGTTTTTTTTACAGTGTTTTGAATTACCGTTTGAACAAGTGTTCTTTCTTCCGTCTTTACTTTTCAAGTTTGACAGTTAGTCTTCGTGCTTTCTGTAGCCTTTATGCGATCTTTTGAGTTAATAGTTGTGACCTAAGTAACTCTACCTCGCCATTACCAAGATTGACAAGACTAGAATTAATGTTCTGGATCCATTATATATATATACAATGGAAAAAAACAGCTGGCTAAATTTCTACTTTCGGGGTGTTGACTATCAATTAATATGAGCTATGTGAAATCTCTCCGATGTTTCAACCCACAGGAAATTCTTGTTTACATTGAACAAAGATAAAAAACAATCCTTAGTTTTGTGAATTGGTTGTTTTTTTTTCTTAATCTTTCTTTCAATTTAGCTTTTAATTACTTTTTTGGCTTTATTAATCAATCGATTAATTATACAAACTCTAGAAAATTAAATTTTAATTTTAAGGTAAAATGTTTTGCTCTTTATATGAAATCTTCAGACTTCATGTTCAAAACCATGAAAAATCTACCTTTTCTCTTTTAAAGTTTCTCTTTTGTTACCACATTATGCCGGATTGATAAAAAGTGCTATCTCGAAGATTTTTGCAAAACTTTTTTTAGGTTCAAATTATTATTCGTCGACAGAAATGCTATTSCTATAGCGTAGAAGAAAACTGATTTCAAACTCAAAATGTCTCACAGCTTGCTGCACGCAGTTAAAMTCTAAATTTAATTTCTTTTCATATCTAAACTTCATTTTTCCTTTTCTATTATCTATTTTTTGCTTGGAAAATTAATAAAAGCGACGAGAACAGAATCTTTAACAATTTAACTATGTTTTTGTAAACAATGGAGACAACTGCTCTATGCAAACTCAGATAATGTTAGACCTCTACCGGCTAAAGCAAGACTGACAAGATACTGGAGACTTTCATCTCCAAGAATCACTAGAGATGAGTCGACATCATGGAGTCAATTGGACTTAAACGAACATCATGCAACTAGCATAAAGAATTGCTAGAAATGTATCGCGAAGGATCGATGACTAAAAAATCAAATAGAAAAGTGAAAACAAGGTCAAGAACACAAGAGGACAAGACGATATAAGAAAAGAGTGAGTAAGAATGCCGGATTAAGAGAACAAGTACGAACTGAAGAAGAAGGATAAAAGAAGCTAATTTAAACACTGAAAGAAGCACAAGAAGAAGAAGAAGAACGACGAGAAGTCGAAGACGTTTGACTTGAAGATGGAGAAGAAGAAAAGCAAGAAGTTCGAAGATGTTACGCAAGAAGAAGTTTGAAAAACAAACTACAACAACGAGAACAAGAGTCAGGAGATGGCCATAATTGCCGGAATAAACAGAAGTTTCACCGAAGATGATGATGAAGAGAAAGATAAGAAGAATTATTAAGCTAAATATTTAAAGAAAGAAGAATTATTAAGCTAAATCTATAAATAAAATAGCAAACAAGAACAAGAAGACGAGAAGTGCCGAAGAAGAAAGAGAAAAATGACGGCCGTCGATGAACAAAGACTTACTTTTGGAAGGAAGAAGAGAAATCATGTACGGAAAGAAGCTAACATTGGTATCTTTATGTACTATTAAAGCATGCTTACAAAGTGTATAAAACATTAGATGAATTCACTCATTCAAAAATGTATTTATAGATTTATAAAACTTTTCATCGCGTAGGCGTTGGGMAGCCTCWAAAAAACCCGCATTATACGCGCCGYGAATAAATTTTCAATCCAGTTCGCCGCTGACACCATRCAATTAACTTCCCTGTACCTCGTAAATGATTCACTCAAAACATTCAAAAACATTTTTGGTTTGTGATTCAGCTCCACGTAAACGTAAACACGGACAAAAATRATAAAATATTCATTATATTGTGGTCAGACACCGACAGCCTATTGTAGTAAACCATCCTTATGACATTTCTACGTAAGCCATAGTCTCACACAAGGAGATCGGCACAATTACTTACTAAATTTTAACCTTGAAACCTTAGTTCTAAGGCGATGAAAACTTCAATGGCGGCCGCTAATACTATTGATTTAGATGRTAGAACTAGTCTTTCGAGTAGCTTGAAGTATATTTATTTAGCAAGTGAGTTTTAAGGGTTGAAATCATCTCAAAATGAACCTAAACATAACAGCAAAGCTACAAGTTTTACAAGCTCTATTCGGGTAAGTGGAATGTACTTTATTTCAACCCATAGTTGCTCTAGTTTTATTTATTCTCTGTAAGGGAATTCCCAGAAATTCCCTTAAAAGTGTGGAATGTAAGCTTAAGTGAGTTCGCTTCTTTCGATGATTCATATAGCACAGGAACGAATTGAGATCTGTATATCTTATAAATTACACTTCCTCAAAGTACTTGTAGCCTTACAATCTACACTTTAAAAGCGTCCAATGAGTTTATTCCATCCTTAATTCGGTTTCTTTCTAGTTTTCTCTAAAAGGGCTTTCAMGAGTGCGATAATTGAAACGCACTTGTCCTGAGTAGTAGGATTCCGCTTTTATCTGTCGCTATGAAATATTCAGTATCTACGATATGAATCAGCGAGTGTGGAAACCATGTTTAAATTAGATAGCAATCGTAGCTAATTGACGAGTCGCAGGATTGACCATTGTGAAAGATTATTTTTAACACATGCAGGCGTWCCATCGCTGTTTATGTATTATATAACGGCTCTGTAAGGAGTGTTTTCCGATATCCTCTTGCATTCAGTTTTGTTTCTTTTCTTTTTTTCTCTCTCTCTCTTTTCGTTGATCCTTTCTTTGTCTTCCTTCTGTAGCTTGAGGTTTGGCTAAATTTTTTCTGTTGCTCCTCCTCACTTTTTCCAAGATCAATCCTCCTTAATTGTCTTGATCCTTCCTCCTTCTTCCTTGCATCATGCTTCCCTCCTTGCTTTCCTCACTGCTTTCTTACGTCCCTCCTCGACTTGCTTCCTTGTGTCCTTGCTTGCTTTGCTGCGTTATTTGCTTCCTTCCTCCGTCCTCCTTCCCCCTTCTTCCTCCTTCCTTCTTTCCTCCGTCCTCCTTCCTCCGTCCTCCTTCTTCCTTCCTCCTTCCTCCTTCCTCTTTCCTCCTTCCTTGCTTCCTTCCTTGATTCCTTGCTTCCCGTTGCTTCCTTCTTGCTTCCTTGCTTGCCTCCTTCCTTCCTTCCTCCCTTCCTTCCTTCTTTCCTCCCTTCCTTTTTTTTCAAGATATCATTTCTCAGTTTGTGGGCTTCTATCTTTCCCCTTTAATTACTGATTCTACGCACGCTTCATTTCCTTTATGCATACAGCTTCTTTCTAGTTCTCTTATCTCCTAATATATGAGATATGCATAAGCCATAACGCATACGATTCATTCAATGCAATATTTATTATCACCCGCTACATCAGTATCTCTTGGAAAATGATGATTCAGTTTCCGAATTTGCCAACGAACAATTTTGTCAGTCCCTCTGTCGGAGTCGGCAATTGTATTAACTCTATAGTTAAAACTTAATCGATTGCTTAACTTATTTACGGAATCAAGAAGTTTAAAAGAGACTTGCCTTAAAGAAGTTTAAAAGAGACTTGTCTTTTGTTCTCTCTGTATGGGGCTGGGAGAGATTTTTACCAGTCTCTGATGTTATGAATTATATATACATACGGCTAGTGAAGATAAATGTATCGACCAAAAACCATTGTAATATCATATATAAAAACACTAGACAAAACAATGCAATTATAGAGACTTACTGCAAATACGTCAATAGGAATAATGAAATTGAGATTGCTTGTGGCTAAGGTGTAAATGAACTTAGGGAAGACGCGAAACTTTTGAAAGATAATTGAATACTCCTAATAAAAAATAAAGTCTATTGTGTTTTTAACGACTTTACACTGCACTGTGACTATCATAACGGAGAGAAATCGATGAAGAAGGTGTAGGAGTGTGAATCTGCATGGTTTTTCCTCCCTAATTTCCTTCGAACTAGCCTCTCCTTATGTCTGGCTTCCAGTCCTTTACAAAAGAACTATTGCTTCTTCCCTCTCACTTTTCGGAGCAGTATAAGTGCTCAAATTTCGCGGTCACAAGACTCAATATTTAACTGGAAGTCGTGACGGTGACTGCTATAAACATTTTCGCCGAAAACGTTACTTTAACCACAATCCCTTTCGGTCTAGCCTCGTAGCGATGAGATATTGTTCAGCGATGGTGTTTATTCAAATGGCAACTCTAAGTTGTTCCGGCGCCCAAACTGAGTAAATTCGTTGATGCCAAGAAACGCCTTCAAAATTCAAAGCGAGCAAACGACAGCAGTAGCGTGACCTTGTCTAGTGCACAAGGCGTAAACTGGTCCAGTAAACAATTCCTAAGAGCTAAAAATTACCCTGATATGAAAACATCAGAAAGCAAAATAACAGTAATAAAACGAAATGATAGTTTTACATTTTTGAATTAATCCAGAACAAAAAATCATGAAAAAGGCCACGGAAACTGTTCATTGAGTTGAAACTTCCACGAGGAAGCAAAATTTGCATTTATAACCTTACAAAGTATTAAAAGATTATGTTACTAGCTTAAAGCCAATTATTGCTTCTAAAATTGTGGCAAAACATGTCGTAATGTTTGTGACCCCTCCCTTGTATAAGGAGGACCCCATTCGGGACCAGGTGCCCAAATTGCGTCACTTCCCAAATGAACTCTGTGATCAAGTGCGCAAGCGTGCTTCCTTTCAAAGACGACAATGTAGAGAACGTAAACATTTCAAAAAGGCCACAAGAACAGGCCACAAAAATGATTTTTTCTATGGATTTCTTCACTATATTTTAGTACCACTGCTAGAGCAGTATGTCTAGCTTAGTGAAGAACCAAATCGCTAAGCAATTAGCGAGGTAAAAGCTAGATTTTTGACGCCATTCTTCACGCTCGCCAACAAATGGCTAGCCAAGAAACCATGTGTGTAAAGTTTGCTGACTTCTTATTTTTGCTTTGATGTTTTTGCAGGTTCACCAAGAATTTTTCACCTAACAAGATAAGTGTGAAATTCCTGAAAGGAGAAGGAGAACTTCATAACCTTGAACTCGATGAGAAAATATTGTCTGACTTGCTTGAGTTACCTCCATGGCTGCGAATATCTAAAGCAGTGTGCAACAAGATCTCGGCAAAGGTATCTAAATTAAATCATTATAAAACCCAATTTGAAAATCATTCAGTAGATTCATAAATCGAAAAGCAGAGATTTAACTTGTATGTAAGAATTTTTGATATTATTTGGCTAAAATATTGAGTAGGACATGAGCTAACAAGAACTAGTACCCGCTAGCTTTTGATCGATTTGCATTTCTACATTTGGCACGAATCCTTTGACATTTCATTATTTTACGAGAAAACTAAACATGCGATGTTATTCCTTGAATATATTCTGGATCTATATCATTTCATTTCTTTATCTATGACATTTGGGCTCAAATTTATCAGGGATTACCATTTCAAATTCAAGTTCAACCCACGGTCGAATTTTCTCCACGCGAATTCTCTGGCAATTTCCAATTTGACAGAAATGACTCCTTGAATATATTTCAATAAATAAAAAAAAAGTAATATTCCTTTTCTTCAAATGTAATAATAATACCCACATTAGATGCTAAAAGATATATTGTAAAGCATAGCTAAAACCCCCGCCTATTATTAAGCTTCGTAATACATATTTTTATGTTTTGAAAAATCTATTGTCGACACCAAAGATGTGACTTTTATACCTAGTCACGGACCTCGCGATGATTTCAAATTTCCCCTCACGAATTTTACTCTATCGAGTTTCGTCTTTAAACCACAAGAATTCGATGTTTTTCTGTAGGACATTTTTATATAAAGGCATTCCAACCAATTGTTTAAGGTATTAGATACGGTACATACTTAATCTTATTTATTTTCGTATGTGAGTCATGGGTATAGCTCGATTGTTTATATTTTCAAAAACTTTTATTAAATCGAAAAACCGAAARACTTAAATTTTCAAGYATAATTTTATAGAAATAACAGAAAATAAATGAATATTATTGTGTATAAAATTTGTGGGACGAAAAGGGAATTTCATTCAAATTCCATTCATTTGAAAAACATTTCATTCACTTTTGCTGGATATCAAAATKAACTCTTATTTTACAAACTATAGGGAACACATATGTTTTTCTAAATTCTGGGCAGTTTTTTATAGACTATCTAAATAATTTATCAAGTTTATAGCTCAAATTCATTGAAAAATTAATGCTTTCGAATGCTTTGAAATAGAAGTTGAAAAGCAAACTCCAGTTAATTCTTGACAAAATGTTTTTTAAGTATAATCTGGGCAGCAGTACAAATTATGTCTATTTTAGGAATCAAAGAAAAATTTATGCATTCTTTGTAAAATAATGCATCTCCTTGCCACTGGGAAAAAAATAACATTACTGCCAGAAAGATAGTTCATGAAAAATGTTCAAAAATCATGTTTTTTTTAACTTTGCTTGTATACTAATAACTCTTAGCTTGTTTTATGTGCAAGACTTTTTGCTTTGGTTTCAATTTACATAAACTGAGATTGTAATTCAACAAGAAGCCTCATTTATCAAAAAATTTAAGTGTTCAACTATTAACAAAATACATACAGTATACTTATTTTGATACTGCACAGGCACCTATTCATGATTTCCATAGTTTGTATATTATGTTGTACCTTTTATTTATTTTCTTATATATGATCTACTAACAAAGGATCATTACTGTASAAATACAGAAGTGGTGAAAGTGCTAATTTACATGTCTTTAAATAATATAACTCGTGATTTGAAAATGCTTTGATTGGTCTAATAAAATACTTTAATATCACGGCAAACACACACTCACTCACTTATAGAAATGAAATTTTCTAAATTATAACAACAGCACTTAACAGGCATGGATTGTTGTGGCATATTGGATGTGTAGCACTTGGAAATATTGGAGAACACTTAGAAAAAATCATCTTAAAATATAATGATCATTGTAATTTAAATCAGTCCTGTACTACATCTCTGAATGCTGTTTTTCACTGATACATGCAAACCTGAGAAACCTGTAGTTGTGTAAAAAGATAAATTTAACACTTTAAAAAAGTAGGTGAAATAACTTACTGACGTTTCAGACGTTAATCCTTTGTCAGAGTAAAGAGATGGAAGAACCAGGCAGAAAAACCTGAGAAATACATCCTATATTGCTTCAAGTTGTCATCGTTTTTCACTTCAATATTACTTTCTTGTCTATATTAAATTTCATTTCATTTCTTGTTTTCTTTTAATTTTCATGCACATAGTACATTTTTTTCTTACATTTTCAAAAAAAATGTATTGATTGATTTCAGTTTTCTCTTTTTTTCCTTTCTTTTTATTTTCCATTTTTTCTATTCCCACTTATCCCTTTGTCRCATTGTATTTCCTTTCCCTCAACTTATATGTTATTGTATTTTTTTTTTGTATATGCTGAGTCAGTGTTTCTAAAGAAACAGTTTAGAAACAGTTGTGCAAAAAGATAAATTTGAACACCGTAAAAAAAAAAACAACAACTAAAAACTTAAAAGTAGTAACTTATCAAGTATTAAGTTTATGTTTGCTTTGTAGATCCACTGGACCAAGCTGAAGACAGATCCAATATGTCTGGTAAGTCTTGTYAAATTCAAATATATCAACAAAAGTTATGCCAAGAAAGCTAAAAAATCGATGTTGTGCCAAGGTACAAACATGAGTGGACTTGGAGACAACAGAGCTGTTGAAATGCCATTCTTACACCACTTCTTGCTTTGTTTGTGGCGTCAACATCTGTTTTGAATAAAGTGACTCAAACAAACTAGCMAATGCACAATATTTTATTCTCTAGTCCTTGTGTACCAAAAACTAGTAACTAGTACCTAGTACCCAGTCCAAGCTACACAGGAATACCACTCTTCTACACTTCCATATATTTGTTTTTAAATGTACAGTGTTTGTTTATACATCAACACTGCACATGCAGACATAATAATTTAGAGGCAAGAGCATATTTTACCACATATAAATTCTCGCTCGCTGATTGGCTGATTAGAGTGTTTCAATAAGGAGGAGATGCAYATTGGGCTGACACCGTCACACCTCACGCATGTGCTCAATTGAAAGCAAAYAATKATTTTTGCTTATTTTTAGCCTATAAAAATGTGTMAAAAAAAACAAATTGCTGCACTCGTAGGTCCACTTGAGTTTTGAACATTTTATGACRTCAAAAAGWGTGTCAATAAGAAGACATACAATTCAAAACCGTGCGCAATTTGTTAACATTATGTATGTGTACTTATAATCTACAGTTTAATAAACTTGCTCTACTTTGGCAATGTTTGYCCCACAAATTATGCTTAAAGTACTTTTCATACCTCCAATATATCGAGTTACCACAAATTTTGTTATTTTCACTTGTGATAAGCTTTCAAAAGTAGAACTATTAATAATAAAAATGGATTATTTTTATGATTTTTAATATTTTTCATGAGTCTGGAAGAATTATCCATTGATTGGTCAAAGATAAAAATTTCATTATTTATTCCCAGTTATAATGCCCTGTTGTCATGGTAATATACCATACTTATTACATTTTAAGTGAAATGTCTCCATAGTGATTCACTACAGCTAAAAACATTCAAAAGTAGAAACACAAATGAGAACACAAAGACATTGACACATTGAACATAAGCGTTGTAGATAGTTAATACTYCATTTTCAAGTTCAAAGCGGATAACTGCTGTTTCATACGACAAAAGATTCTCTTGCKCAAAAGTCTTACAAGAAATAGAAGAAACCATGAGAAAATATTGTAAATACATACATCAATAGCCCTATCGATTTGTATTTTCTCCTAGTTGAGGCTAACCCTGTATTTCCAAAAGCCTTAAATTAGAAATAAATGTTCAAGGCTGCAATAATAATGACATTTTCTCATTGTTTCTTTTGTTTCTGGTAAGGCTATCGCWCAAGAAAATTGGCTGTCAAGTCAATCAGCGGCTATCTGCTTTGAACTCGAAAATGGATTATTCAGTAAATGCCGAATACTCATGATAGAAAAAAATCGAGAACAACAAACTAATGTTCTTATTGTTGTTTTTAGTATCTGGATTGTGTAGAAATAGACATGGAAGAAGTCATCCTTGCACAGACAAAACCATCATCTAAAGGGCCAAYYAAACCTCCTCCCCCACCGGCTAAGTATGYATACCATCTATGTCTWRCCCCTMYCCCCTGAGGGCAAACTAATACCCAATCCCTAAGTGTAYATTCAGCCAGTACTTACTCTCGCTCAATTATGCTTTTAATATTCATTTGCAGAGAAAAGCCTGCAAATCGTTATGGCTTTGTTGAAAAGGTCGTTGAYGGCATGTATGTACAGATGAACTCTGTCATCATTTCCTTCAAGTCGTTAGAGTTTCAAGCCAGTGTTCAGATTTCTCGTCTCATCGTTGAAAGTACTACACCTGAATGGAAGCCTGATGATTTAAGGAGCACCCGTGTCAAAGATGAAGGACGTGGTGAGGTGCTGACTTTCAAGGATATTCACTGGTCGACACTRAGAATAGATGCTAATGCTGTAGTTAATGTAAGTTGAGTTTGCTGGAAAATGGATGGATGAACGAAATTAAGAAATGGATGGATGGATGGAAATATGAATGGATAAGTTAGAAATGGAAAAATGAATAATTGAATGGAAGGGAGAATGAAGTAATGAATAAATGRATGGATTAATCAAGTGGATGTAAGAAAAAATGAAAACATGGATGAAAWAATGAACGRWTGAACAAATGAATTAATAAAATGGATGAATTAATTTATGGATGAATGTGAATTTACTGAAGATATGAATGTCAAATACAACAAATTCATTTAATTTTGAATGAAATTCACAGATAACACCAATATCTCACGTTTATAATATACCTCAACAGGAGAAAGTTCAAAACAAATCTTCAGCAATCCGTCTGATAACAAGCCATTCCTCAATGCACATTACAATCAAAAAGAAACTTGAAGATTGTTCTGTTGTCTCTGCTCGACTTGAACTCCTACTGGATGACATTCTTTGGGTVCTTACTCAGTCTCAACTCCAGGTACATGCACGCACAGGCAACCCAACCATTCACTAAAAAAAATTGTATGGCTGGGCTTCCTGTGGTACTTCCAAACTTGTCCATAAATAGTTGATATTCTATCATTGCCATTGTCTATCATCATTGCCATTGGAAGATTTGTCTACATGTGTACATACATGTATTGCTTGCAAACTGATCTGATTATTCAACGCTTGGCGTTGTTCCACATAATACATTTTCGTGTGTTTTATTCAAATGTTTGGCATTAGAAAAGGCTTTTCTCTATTATATTTTAAGTAGTACACTGTTCTTCACATAGTTTTGTCATTCAATCATTTGTATCTTCTTTAAACAGGGCCTTGTTGGCTTCCTAAACTCCATCAACAAAGCAGTCGCCCAAACAACACCCTCAAAAGAACCAACWGCGCCCTCCACAGGACAGACACCTCCACAACAACAAGCACCCACCCAGTATTCCTCCTCAAACCTTCAAAACCCTCCCCAGCAAGACACGCCCTATTCCGACTTCGCAAAGTATGACATATCAGAGACGTCGTATCATTTACGTACAGGAGCAATCGACCTTCACTTATGCGATGATCATGATTCTAAGGACAGTAMCGATGAGTTAGCAGGYGGAGCCATGCAGATTCATATCAACAAACTAGCAATAGATAATTATCCTTATCACCTGGCGGGCACTTCAAGGGCGAAATGGGCGTGTCATAATGAGGCGTCRCTAACACGTGCTTACTGGGTTAACCAGTTGTTAAACACCTTTAGGAATAATATYAAGAGTAAAAGAAGTCCGTCTGTGTCTGATTCCCCCAAACCAACAAGAAGTAAATCGGAGGTGAGTTGAAGCTCCTCTACATGTATGTTTATAAGTGATTTTTTTTTCTAAAATAGTTGTTGATTATCCGTTTTATTCTTGTAAGTGCTCAGTTACATGTAGAAATCCAAGATGCCGCTTAGAGACTCGTTTGTGCTTGCTTGGTGTAAACTGTGACCGAATGTTGCACAAAATATGTCTCTACAATATATATATAAGATATCAAAGAGGCAAGATTTTGCTGTGACTCCGAGTTTCGTGCTACGCACTCGTCCGACAGTATTTAATGAGTCTCTACAATATATGTGTATATTGAAACTTCCTTGATAATTGCAAAATCTGACTAAAAAGTCTATATTTTTTGGTTGATAAAGTTGTAAGAACCCTGTTTATAGGAAATGATACGAATTCTGTTCAATTCTTAGGGTTCGGCAGTGTTAAATGGACCATCTCACCCGCCTCCATCACCAACACGACACCCTCCAACACCAGCAGCCCCCGTAACTCAACGTCAACCCTCACCAACCATACCCCAGCGTATTTCCCAGGCGCAGAACCAGCGTCGGCCGGTCTTCATGTACGAAAACTGCTATCTCATTCGATGTGAGGAGTTCTCTGTTATGCCAGTAACAACAAATAACGCACCTGAGGAGGGTGTGGCGTTTTTGTCATCGGACAAAAAAGCCTTGTACCTCCCCAGTGATATGCCAGCATTTCAAGTGGATTACACTACTTACTACTACCCGGTGGGGGTTCAGTCGCCAGGTGAGTCAATCACGGTGATTTCTCAGATTCAAGAATAATTTGTAAAGACGAAATATAAAATGATAAATAAAAGATGAAGCAGGAAAACAGACAGCAAATGATTTACAATAATTTAGAATTTACATTGTAATGCAAGGTTGAATTTGTCCTGAAGCCCATTTGATAAGTCTAATCCTTGTTTTCAGTTCCGAATCCAAACCTGTTTGTCCAGTTAAATCCAGTTCAAGTTACTTTGGACACCACTACATGCATCTGGTTTAACCGGTTTCTGAACGCGATTTTCACTTCAGCGGTAAGTTCAACCGTACATCAGGGTAATCTGAAAAATATTAACGGGCTACGGTCAACCGGCAACACTTTTGAGCTTTTGTTTATGCTTGAAACTAAAAAGACATCCTAATATACATGTAAGCAAGAACGTACTGTTTATTATACCTTTATGCTCATTGAATTTAGATATTGTAAGAGTCGACCTTTTAAACCGATGGATGGAAACAGATTGTGAATGGATATTTGAAGTCACCTCATGACTATGGTGCTTTTGAAGGAGTAAAAGAAGAATCCTCTTGTGGGATATTAAAATGTTTTTGCTTTTCTGTTTAGGACTCGGCAACATGTATGCAACCACAACAGCCTGCGAAACCTTCTCATGTTGATATGCGCATAGAAGCTTTGATGCCAAGGGTAATTAAATTATTGATTGATTAATAAGATTAATAAGATATCACATTTGATGATTCTATTAGTAATATTCGTTTCACGGATTGAGTGCGCCTATATTCGTTTCACGGATTGAGTGCGCCTATATTCATTTCACGGATTGAGTGCGCCTATATTCGTTTCACGGATTGAGCGCATATATTCGTTTCACCGATTTTGTTTTGTCCTCCAACTACTCAATAACTTCTTGGTGATGTCGCCGTGAGGTTCAGCGTTGTGAGGAAGACATTTTAAAAGATAGGGAAGCAATTCATCCTTCTCTATCTGTCGGAGTGTCACTACATTTCTTTCTTTATTATGTTTTTTTTATTCAATTCGAATTCAGTTCAGTTTCATATATGTACAATCTCTATTAAGACAAACTTTGATAGTAGATTTTAGGTTATCACAATCTTCAGCCTAGGTTCTGGGTTCCAGGCTTCACTCCACATGGGACCCAGGSCCCAGAATGAAAATAAAGTCAGACKAAAAGCAAATCTTCTTCTGTTCATCAGGTCACGCTCCCCTGTCCTAGCGAACCAGGTTGTCACTATCGCGARTCAAGGCCCCAGGCCCTGCAGATCCAAATGTCACAGGTAGCCCTGACAAATAGTCGTGTGGGATCCAACACATCCCAGACTGAACTTCTAATGCTGCTGCAACAGTTCTCGTCGTCTAAGCTCTACACAGAATATAGYAWTTTTCCTAATGAGCTCAATGACGTCAGACCCCTTAGTAACCTGGCCTGGTTGAAGGATTTTGGCGTTATGGACGATCCTGTACGACTGGAGAGACTTATGAATGGACTGAAGGCTGATGCAAGTTCACCATGTCAACCTTCTCAGGTTTGTTAAATCACGAGTTATAGTGAGATATTTAGTCTCCCTCTCAGCATTTCCTTTTGTCGGGCTACCTGTCCCTCCCAAAAGACAGGAAGCCCGACAAAATCGGGAGATTGCGAAGGAAATTATGAGATATGCGGTAAAAACTGAATATTATGCTGAACAGTGCATTGAAAAACCGCAATATTCATTATGTTTGAAGGATTTTCTATGAACCCATCTAATATTCCCTGCATCATATCCTTATCTTTAAAAAAAACGGTTTTGTCCTTGCTTAGACAAGGCTATATGTTAAAACAAGTAACTCGACAAAATAAGTATTACTCTTTTAAACAAAGATTGACCGTTTTTGRGAAGCACCGAAACACCAAACAAGTTAAAAAATAGGCTGCTTAAAAGGCCCTTGCGTTTCAGGTATGGTGTATGTCCGTCGATCAGTTCTGGATTGATTTCCTGGGACTTACAAGTAATAAGAACCGACCTATGCCATTCATAGAAGCCATACCCCTCCGTCTTTGGATCTGCACCCCCCTGAACAGCCTCTCTAACGAGAGCAAACGATCAAGCCAAGCAAGCCTCGACTATGAAGGAGACATCGACTCRAGGAAGGGCTCCATTGATTCAAACCGCATTGCCCAGCCTTCCTCGGCCGCCTCGTCACCAGGCTGCCAGCGAGCACACCACGTGACCATMCCRTCGTCCTTTCATGGTTCAATGTCAAGTCCTAATCTAAAAGCCCCTCMCAAAGATGAATCATCGTTATCCAATAATGAACGTTCTAATGGAGTGGAGTTWATCGGMAGTCCACCAGTTGTGAGTTCGTTACCGGCGTCACCAAGATTGCGTGACAGTGGATTTTCCTCAATATCGCAGTCTAAGGTTTTGGCTAATGATAGTATTCGTATTGATAAGACATCTCCCGTTGAATCTTTATCTGGACATTCATCTAATAGTATAGACAAGGACGCTACTAACGGTGACATAGGGACTTTACAAGAAAATACCGCGGATTGCGTGACGCGAAACGAGAATTCCTCACAGAGCTCTCTCGAYGGRAAAATGAGCCCAATGTCTATTTTCCCGCCAAGTGAAACCGRAACAGTAAATAAGCCCCTAGGGAACATTCCTAATGGGGGCTCRAATGTAAATTGTAATGTTGGACCTAATCTACGTAAGGCCTTTGGGTCTTATTCAAGTACAGATGACGAGAATCTGGGCGTTTTTAATGAGGACGCTTTTAAGGTAGCTGATATGAGCCTACTGGCTTTAGTCCCTGTGAATGTATCAGTTCAACTCGATCACTTCCAGTTTATATTTTTGATGCGATTACAAGAAAAGATGGTTGGGCTGCAAGAGCGACTYGACCRAGAGAGAAAGWTGCACATCGAGTCGACGTGCGACAAGCCAAYACAGCCWTCYCCTAGCGTTACTTTTTCAGTCCTCGCCAAGCGTGCTGAAGTGAACATTATTCTCCCTCCTAGTCCAGACCCTACAATAAATGTTCGAGGTGCCAGYAGCGCTAGTAGTTATTTGGACCCTGGATTTGTTTCTGATGAGATTGCGTCCCCTGAAGTCACTCGCGAAGAAAAAYTACCACCTGACACACTAGATCTAATCGCAGACCCCAACACGGAAGTCAAATCCAACCAAGATGTCCTTCCTGTTTCTGACGTCATTTCCGGTCACGAAGGTAGGGAAAGTGCCTTATCTATGTGTGATTCAACCGACGGCTGGCTTCCTCCGAACGGCGATAAAAATGTACCAAAAGCCAGGAGGGGTAGCGATGCTAGCTGTGCCAGCAGTCAGCTTGGAACGAGTCTGGATTCCAGGTCCCGAAGCAGCTCAAGAACGTCGCGGGCAAGTCGTGTCGTGTCGGTATTTACGGCTGARGGGAATGATATCCATCTTGGATTTCAAATGGATGGAGACGAGATTGCAATTAAGGTGACGTCTCAAGATATGAAARTWGACGAGAAAGGAAACCTCAACTTTGAAAAATAYCTAAATCAGAAGTYCTTTAAAACACAACAAGATACCAACACCATTGTACCGCGACCTCTTCCCAGTTCCCCACCGACTGTCAGCGTCCGAGCAGAATTTGGGCCWGGTGCGGAGAGAAACACCCCATCGGCTGGAGAGCGTGGGTTTGCGCATGTTCAGCTTAGCAATGTGGATTTGTCTCTATTGATGAGYAATATTGAAAGTTTAAGCGAATGCTTTGATGACGAGATTATATTACCCAAGATGCCTTTCTACGTCGAAATGAAGTCTTCCAGTATTTGCATCAAAGACGACAAACCCGCGAGGCTACTATCCGCTCCCCCACCCCTCCCCCTCAACGTCAATCTTGAGARCATCGCAATCTTCCGAAACCAAGATGAAGTGATCAATATTCGCGCTTTGAATACCTCAAATGACTCCAGAGAACCGTCAATTGATGAACCGGAAGTCACTGCGTTACAACGACCAGTGTCACGCCAATTGTCACGCACAACTAGTGATTTGAGCCTTGCTGAATCAGTGTCKTCACGTTCTGATAATGATAGCGAGAGAGAGTGCTTGAAAGCTCAGCTGTCGGTGTCACGCGCAGCGTTACATGCGGTGCAAGATGAGCGGCAAGCGTTACTCAAGACGATTGAACGATTACAGTACGAACTGGCGATGTCGAACCGAGAGCAAGATCGGCTTCAAGCAAAGGTCGTCGCTTATCAGTCGRGTGGAAGTCGGCGAAAATAATATCGAACTCAGGAGGGGGGTAAAGATTGTCGCAAATACCATAAGTCGAAGAATTCTCGCGAAATCACTAGCGAAAAATACCTATAGGTACAAAGGAACAGTAGTCGGTTAGATGTAACTATAGGTATAAAATAACGGCATGCAGTTGTTTAAATATACCTACGGATGTAAATCCACAATGTACCTATAGGTAGAAAATATCAGTAGATAAAACGTACCTATAGGTACAAATTAACAACCACATATCTAGGTATGAAATAACAACCGATGATAGATATACCTATAGATATAAAATACCGGAAAAGAAAATATACCTATGGGTATAACATATCAGTAGTCACTGAACTAGACTCCTCGCAGCTCGCTTCCGTTGTGATGTGCGGAGTCGAGCAATAATCGTACCCTAGGCTAGTTAGGATTTAAATTTCCCGCTTAAAAGATCATGCTTTGATCATGCTAATAAAATGTCCAAACACCAAACTCCAGGGGAGGACCGGGGAATCAACATAGCTTTGATTTTAGCAATTYTGAGAACTTTRATCAACAGAGGGTGGGTCTGATTTGATGAAATGACATTTTTATAATATCCCCGGTATAMCCCGAGTTTGTGGAGGGCGTGACTTAAACCATGCTTTATTAGATCAATGCCACCCAATTCAAAAACTCTTTGAGTAAGAAAGTTTTCGCTGGTAGTTCAGCTGTAAAGCAAAATTACAACGAGTTATGTAACTCTCGAGTTGTTGTAACTGGGTGGAAACAGTAGTAACTCGTTTGCTGGTGTCCTCACAGCCGTGTTCACTCTACTCGAGACTACTCGATGCTACTCGAGGCGACTCGTT